GATAATCTGTATCTGTACATTTGTTTTTTCTTGCCTAAGTGTAAAACTTTACTTTTCTAAACACCGAATTTCATTTTGTTACATAGGACCCAATGTTCAAGAACAGGCTCACAGTCTAGGCTCATAGCCTAGACAACGATCTAAGAAATCTCTGAATCCTGAACAGGGATGGGTTCTACTTACCTTTGCTACTGGTTCGCAATGGGAGCACGTGTGCACTTGCTTTGCTCACGGCGCTTCTGTGCATGTGTAGAGCATCCGTGATGATGTCCAGGTGAGCGGGCGGAGCCTCCAGCCGCCATTACTACCGATTCGCAAGATCCAGACCGAACTGGTAGCAACCCACCACTGATCCAGAGAAGAGGTAAGGGTGGAGGAAGCATCTCAGAAAGGACATAGTACACCAGAAAATAAAGGTAGAGGGTGGGGGAAGTGCTTTCAGACTTGCGAAGTTTCTAGAGTAAACTTGTAATAAAAATGGTTCAAACTCTTCTTACAGTAATTCAGATGGTTTAAAAACATAATTGGCAATAAGCTGATCCAAAAGTATTAATACCTCGTGACTTCCAAAAAAGGGATTTATATGTACTCTTCCAGTTTGTAAATCTGTAATTTTAGCTCAGTGTCAAAATTCTGCTTTTTTTCCAAGAGCCTTGGTAGTACAGTGGTTTAAAGCACCCTGTTATTAACACAGCTGCCTGCAATTACTGCAGGTTCGAATCTTACCAGGCTCAAGGTTGACTCAGCCTTCCATCCTTTCTAAGGTAGGTTAAATGAAAACCCAGTTTGTGGGGGCAATAAGCTGACTTTGTATAAATATACAAAAGTATGAAGGCTATTGCTTAACGCATTGTAAGCCACCCTGAGTCTCTGGAGAAGGGCGGCATATAAATCAAAATTAAATATATATATATATATCTTTTGGTTATGTTATACAATCATTAATAACAGAATAGAACTATTGCTAAACCTGGAAACAAGCCACTGCCATGGTATGAGAGAGCTCACAACAAACCAATCATGCCTCCCATTTTAACATGGTTATTTGGATTTTTTCTTTTTTTCTATCTATCTATCTATCTATCTATCTATCTATCTATCTATCTATCATCTATCTATCTATCTATCTATCTATCTATCATCTATACATACGCACACACACAGAATAACAGTGAAAATCAGAAAATTAAAACTCTCATAATTGCAATTTAGTTGAAAAAAATTATGGGTTGATTCTTCCCATTTTTTAAAAATATCTATCTGCTTAAAATATCATAAACTGATTACAATTATAGGTTGTATGTATGTACAGGTTGTCCTTTGTTAATAACCATTTGTTCAGGGACTATTCAAAGTTATAACTACTGAACAAGGACATTTACAACTAATCCTCGAAATTGCGGCTATATTGTATTGTCCCTAAAGTCATGCGAACTGAATGTGGATGCTGGGTAAACAGTTCACATGATAATCACAATGTCCCATGATCACATGATCAATATATGTGACCTTCACTGCCAGGTTCCGACAAGCAATATCGATGACAAAATTGGCAGAAGGCTGCAAAGGACTGTCATGTGACATTGCTCTAACAATTGTGCAAGCTTAATGAAAAAACTAGAGTTAAAACTGCTGGAACTACTGTTGTCACATGACAGCACACTTTACAATTATGTTGCTTAACAATAGAGTTTCTGGTCCCTATTACTATTATTATTATAGTAATATAACCCTATTACTATTATTAACTTAGAACTAACTGTACAGCATTTTTTATTTACACACAGCATAAAGTATGATGAGGCAGGCAGCAAAGATTGAAGACCTGGCATGTAAACACGAATAGATATTCCAATTTTTAAGGCAAAGGAATGAGGTCCTTTATGTACGGTAAGAAATAGGCTGGGGGCTATTATCCAAATATTTATTGTTTAAGCCATTATTAAAATTTTCTCCCTTAAATCTAGTTATTGAAATGTTAAATAGTAAGGCACTTTGTATTTGCTTTACTAATCCTACAATATGTAGAATTTAATAAAGTGTTAGGCACAAAAAAATCAGGAACCAAGGTTATTCAAACAACTACATGTTTATTCCATGGTGATGACATGGTTGATCCCTCCCTCAGGCTCAGCCTGGTTATCTCCTACATAAGGTATAATTAAATAGCTTAAATATTCAGGGATAGCTTAACACCCATGCAATTGTAACTAGAGTAGTTCTGTGTCCTATTTTCCAAAGCACAAGACCTTCATTTGAAGAGTTCTTCAGTCTAAGTGTAGTTTAAAAATAAAGGAACAATTAAAGAAAAGGAGAGTGTGGTTATCATTGGCTATCAAAGCTCTGTGACAGTAAATTGTGTAGACACAAAGTACTTGATTACTCATTTCTGCTCTGCTGAGATGTATTTGGTCTTGAAATAATTATAGTAATTAATTTTAAAATTATGTCAACATATTAGCATATGTTGATATAATTAACATATACAAATCGAAATGAAATTATATTTGTTTTTTGAGATAGAGTGCTGTGATGTATTTCTCCTTTTCTCAGAAAAAAGAAAATAGAAAAAAACCACTTTAAGACTTGGCACAACAGAAAGGATATATTAATTTATGAATCCCACAAGATACCATATGTTACAAGATATTTTTGGGAAAGTGTCTCAAGGGAAGGATTGAAAGAAAGAGGAAAATGGAGATTACAAATCAATTTATTCCTCAACTAGTAATATTTGGGCTGCTTGAATTTTAGATTACATGCAGAATTCCTTTTTAAAAAGACACAAAACAATATGACATACTATCTGGACTCTTGATTTGAGCAATTCTCAAGAGATTGAACATAAATTTTTAATGAGATTCTGAAGTCAGTAAAATCTTATCTATTTATACAGATATTTTCACCTGAGGTTAGAAAAGCTGATGTAAGTAAGCTATATAACTAAGCCAGAATTATTTAGAGGTTATTTCAACCTCTGTAATGATTCTAAGCTGTTTACAACAAAATGTTATAATCCAAAAGAGTAGAGATATGCTTTTTTTTGTTTAAAAAAAACTGTCTCAAAATAAAGTTCTCTAGAATTTGTGAAAATGCAAACTCTAATAAGGCATTCATAATGTAAAACAGCCACACTGACAAAAGTCATATAAGCTCATATGATAACCAATTCAAGTTACTTAAAAAGCAAGCAAGGTGTAGCGATAAAGACACTGAAGTCAATGTAGAAAGATACTATGAGAACCATGTTCAGGTCTGTTCTCAGCTATGGAGACTCACTGCCAACCCGATCAACAGGCCTCATAGCCACTAGCTCCAGTACTTTGTTAGCTACCAATCAGTGTGCCAGGTATTTCTTTATTGCCTGCTATTATTTTTAATAAATTCTTAATTTATTATCAGTGTTGCTCTTTATTCTCTACAAGTTGTGCAGGGTTGCTCTATCCTTACACTTATTTATTATATCTCCATGGACATCATGCATGGATTGTTGGCAATTCAGTAGCCTGTTATATGTCAAAAGCTAGTAAGACTCGCCCTTTTGTCTCTTTCCATACATAATCATTAACTACATAATTTATTGACTGAGTAGTCCGGAGATAATACATTTTCTCTCTTCTAGCAAATAGCCTACTTCCTCTATTGAATACATCCTAGGAGGCCCAAATCAAACTCATCCAGAATAAAGGCTACATACATCATGCAATAAATGATAATGAAAAAGCACCATCCTGTTGATAAATGCTTTTCAGTGAAGCAAGTTCTGCAGCAATCTTGCCTCATCGCAGGATTCAAAATAAACTTCTGAAGTAAGCAATCATTTTAGCCAACCTTCCTTTGTGCATTAAATAATAAAAAAAACCTTCAATTTTATTAGAATTAAATTTCTTAAGATTCACCCTGCTCCATATTTTTCCTTTTCCCTTGGTTTTGAGGTTAACACAGAGAAGGAATGATGAATACCAGTGAGTAGCACAATAGTGGGGAGGCTTGCCCAGTTCTTAAATGTATTTTAGCAGTGTGAAACTGTAAAATAATATTGATTTGTGTAAGTATGCTGGGCTGCTCTTACTTACTCTGAGTTACTGCTGCTATGGAATAAGGATATAGCCCTGCAAGCATAGCTTAGATTTTTTACTTTATTTCTTAGTTCTTTATTTAAGAAATAGATGATTTCTCCTCAAAATCCTAAATTAATGTATTATCTCCACTATGTCTCATAGTGGCTTTTCTTAGGAAAAAAGTAAAGCTTGGAAATAAAGTATTGAATATGCTTTCACATGTGATTGAACTATGTCTCTGTCTCTCTCTCACACACAAAGACACACAAGCAGACACTGAGGTTGAGCCAAGAATAGTTGGGCTTCTGTTTTCAGGCCTGATAATTCATGATCTAAAATGATGAAAAGTTAACAAGAATAATAAAATCCCCCTCCTATTTCCTTTTATATGCTACAGCATTTTGTTATGATTAATTGGTGCTGTCAACTTGTACTCAGCCAGCTGTTATAAAATTGTCTGTGGGTGCTCTGTGCCAGCTCATTTACCCTGTGCACTGAAAGGCACCCGTTATGATAAATTGTGATGCTATCAGGAGTGTCTTGGCCACCTGCTTCATCTTAGCTACCCTGGCAAAAGTTTATCTTACCTGAGCTCCTGGAATTACTTAATAGCTAGGTAGACAGCAGTTTGTTCAAGACAGATAATGTTAAAGTGAATAAAATAAAACAGAGTTCCGTTGATCAAGAGGTGTTCTAAAAATATAGAGGAATGAAAAAAGCGGACAGAACGCAAAAAGGAAGAGAAGAGTGGCGGGTTTGGCCAGAGGGCGGGGAAAAGAAAGGCAAGAAAGGGGCATTTCACCGGCTACCCCCCTCGGAGGGCTGAGCTCTGGGAGGCCACCCTGGCCCCGTCCTTGCCGGTAGCATCAGGCTGCACTATCTTTTCCCTGGAGCGCCCGGGGATATCTCCTCCTCCTCCTCCTCCTCCTCCTCGAACCAGGCTGGGGAGGAGGGACGCAGGAAGCAATGGCACTCGAGCTGAGTTGGTGGTGGCGGCTGCTGCTGCTGCTGCTGCTGCTTATATGTCGGCGGAGGAAGGGGGAGGAGCAGGAGGGTTGGATTGTGCGAGGGAGATGCTTGGCAGCCCAAGTTCCCGCTCAGGACTTCATACGGTAGAGTGAAGGTCGGTTCTCTACTAGCGAGAGTGCCGAATAAAAGATCTGACCGAGGCTGCTCGAAAAGGGCCTCATGCGCTCTGCCTTTGGCTCAGACTGCCGGCTGTATTGCCTCGTGCTGCCGAAATATTCGGGATGGAGCGTCGTGCCTTGCGGTTGGCCCAACTTTTCCTCTTTGTGCTATGGGGTAAGTACCTATCGCTACGGTTCCCGGGTTATATCTATCGCATTGTCAAGGAGACGCTTGAAAGGGACATTTGGCTACGCTCGTGAATAGTATGCTCAAGGTATGCTTGAACGGCATGGTTTGCTTTGCAGTAAGTCCTTTAGGATGAAAAAAGAAAACAAAAAACCAAGCCGGAGTTTGTCAGATAACTCATTTTGCTTCTCCATAGACTGATTATATCTGAAATAGCAAATCAATAATATAGCTAAAAGTTTGATATGATTCAACAGCAGAGGAAAAAAAAGATTTTGAGGGAGAGAGAACCACTCTCCTAGCATCTTGCTTGAAGCCCCCTATTGGCAGTGTTTATACAGGGCCACAAGCCCAATTCTCAAAATGCTAGATTTATAGGTTGATAAACTCAGTATGGTTTTGCTCAGCCTGAAGATCTACTTTTTGGGTGTCCTTCATACTATGATTGATGTTGGGTTCCGGTCAAGAACAATCAGTAGATCTCATGAGTTTTCCAAAACCAGAGGTGTAAATTACTTTTGATGAGTAAGGACCCCATTCTAAATTCTTTCAGGACCTGAGAGCTGCAAAATGAATTTGGCCTCATTATACATGTTTCTGTGCTCAGATTATTTTGGTTTTCGTGGCTCCTTTTAAACATAATTTGTTTATTTTATGATTTGCAGTCTATTGAATGTGTTTTACTTAAAATGGCACTAAATGCTGCATTCGGTGTTTAACATTTGTGGTTGCAGCTGCTCCAAAGGCTGCAAAAGAGAAAAAAGGGGACATATGCAGCTCTAGGACCACAGATTTCCCACCCTTGCCCAAAGAGATCCAGCAGGATCACTTCAAAGGTTGTGGAAAGAAAGGATAAACTTCGTTTTGCCCCACTATATGCACTCTGCAGCAATTTTCTTAGCACGTAAAATTTCAATCCATTTCATCACATGAAAGGTATAAGTAGCATATTATTTTTAAGTATAATTGATTTACATACATGTTACAGTGAAGCTGTATATGTTATACATTGTTACATACTGTAATGACTGGCTCAATGAGATGAGTGTAAATCCAGCTGTTACCTGACCCCAGTAGTATATCTGCATTGGAACACTGTATGTGTGTGTGTGAGAGAGAGATGATTAACATTTCATTTCATAATAGCTGATGGAAACTAGTAAAATATTTTGTTCAACAAGAAATATTTCAAGTTTGAAAGAAGGGATTTTTAAAAACCGTCCATTCCCCCTTTTCTTGTGAGAGCAAACATCTGTTGCAAAAGCAATAATAATTTCCTGGCAAAGGAGACTTTGCTTAGTCCAGGTTTTCCCCTCTCCTTATCTTCTCCCTTACCCATTATTAGTTTGTTCCAGTGGGAGATTTTTGTTTTCACCTAAAAACTTGGTAATGTTGTAACTATTATGGAATGGGCTTCTCTGTCATATAGCAGATGTTGAAAAAAGCAAACCTGAAACATAATAAAATGAAAGATGAATTTAAATAAACTTGCAGATACTAGGATACATCTATAATAGGTTTAAGTACGTACTGAAGAACATAATCAACATTCTTTTTTAAAAAAAGATTATGTGTGATATGGAAATGACAGTTAAAATATCTAAACACAGGAAACTGCCCACAATATGGTAATTAAGACTAAAAGGTCACAAAGCAGAGTTTGGGTAATTGTTGGCTGAAATGTGAGCCATTTGAATGAATGAGTGAGTGAGTGAATGAATGAGTGAATGAATGAATGAATGAGTGAATGAAATATTGAGTGGGATAAGCATTGTTGTGCTTACAGCCATTGCTATATGAACATTTCCTCTCTGGAATCAGTTGCTGATAATCTTTATTTATAAATTTCATTTTATTTATTTAGAACAGGTAGCTTTAGTGGAAACATTTAAAATGAAGAGCTGGTCTTCAGCTCTTTATACTGCAGAAAAATTCTTCGAAGATAAAAATAGTAGGTAGGCAAAAAACAATGTTTTGTTATGAAATACAGCTACCAAAAAAGAAAAGCTCAAAGAAGGAATAGATGCTGCTGCCAGTCAGTGTGACATAGGAAGATTTTCATATAGTAGTCAGGCAAGCAGGGAGGACCCTGGATGACATGAAACAGTAAATATGAAGTGGTACCAAGGAAACAGGAATTTTGATGGGGAAGTCTGGGAGGCGATCTAGGATAAAGGAGGAGGATGCAGGTTTTAGAAAAACAATAAAATAATTCAGTGGAAGTATTAGAGAACATGGAGAAATGTGCATGAATGAGACAAGAGTTTTAATACTGGTTCCTGAATGTAATAATAGATAAAATGAACTGAGTGAGAGAGACTGAATTTGGGGAAGAGGAAAAAGGTGAAGGTCATATCTATAGATTCAATTTTTTTGTAATATTCATATGCTACCTTTCCTATATATTGAGTCATTTGGAGATTAGGTGACCTTACAAAGCCAATAAACAAATATATATTCAGGGATTTAGGTAAATTTGTTTTTTGTCTCCCTCCAACCTTTCATTTGGATTCCATTAAATTTTTTTGCAGTAGCTGAAGAAGTGTTGATGATTCTTCAGAAAATTATTTGACTTCAACCACACCATTATGCCTTTTTCTATGAAATTTGTGCTTTCTGACTAGATTTTACAGCTAGTCTAACAAATGTTTTATTGGTGATGTTATGTTACTTTCAAAAAGATAGATATTCCCAAACATTTTAGAAAATGCATCAATTAAGGAAATGAATTTAGAAACATGTAGAATGTATTGATCAGCTAATGGAGATCTAGAATTAACAATACTCCATTTGCACATTTTGCTCTGTTTTTTCAGTCCTTAATTTTGACCTGTTAATAGTCTATGTGCAGGGTGCAGTTACTTCCAGAGATATTCTGAACAAATAGGACTATAGGGTGGCTTCTGCCCTTTACTTTTTGTGTTGACATGCAGACAACAACACTTATGTATACCTGTCTTTTGTGTCCTGATCAGTGCACACTTGAGGCTTCATAGTAACATGACAGAATGGAATTAATGTTGCTAGTTGGACAAGATCTCTCTAGCTTGTACATGTTTTAATCTTGTATTTTATATTTTAAATTTTATGTCATATGACATAATATAATTCATATGCCTTTTTATTTTATTTTATTTTTATTTTTATTGTGATACTTCTGACACGAATAAACAAAAAAAAAAGAAAACCTTTTAAGTACAGACAGATCACGTATCATTATAAAATAATGAGACTTAACTAAAAAAACCTTACCTTCTCAGGAAAGTTATTGGCTAAGTTGGAAGTGATTTAGGACATTTAGCCACTGACAATAGCTGCCCCTACTTCGATTCCAGTCACCCACTTCAGCCGATGCACAGCAGCTTTTCTCCTCCACTGGACCTCCTGTGGTGGTTCTCAAAGGACAATGGCCCCCTGGCCCTCCAGCCCCAGCCCTTCATCCCAAGGGGCAGACAGGACTCTGGGCAAAAAGGGGACCAGGAGCCTAATGGGGACATCGCTGAGGAGATGGAGCCAATACTGCTGCATCAGATCACAGTGGATCCTGACTGCAATCTAAAGGTTGCTTCCATGCTGCCCCTCTCTTGGTTTTGTTGCTGTGGCTGCTATAGACAGTTTACAGAGCTGGGCTGGTGCCTTTCTCCTGTGGTGTAGTGACAGGAAATGGCAAAGGAAGGAGGGAACTGGTTGGCACCACCAATTTTTGATCCAGGAAGGCCTGGAGGCCCATTCTTCTCTAGAATGGTATGCAAGCGGCTAGCTGCACCATTGACTCTTTCCAGCAGGTGCATGGAGCTTGAGAAGGGGAAGGGGAGCCCCAAGTTGATTGCAGACAAAGATGCTTTGACAGATCCTGTGAAGCAGTAGTGAGGTAATTTTTAAGTGCAGGTGCCTCCTTCTTTTTCTTCTCCTCCATACTGGGTTTATAACTAGGTCTTGTTTTCAATGGCCTCCAAAGTCCTTCCTGACAATTTGCTTTGAAGAAAAACCAAACAAAACAGGGAGCAATCCAGTATTCTGGATGTATCCGGGATTGGAAGGAAACCTTGCTTTAGGACTAGATCAGGGATGCAAAACCCTGGAGCACTGCTAGAGCACACACAGCAGAGACTTCCTTCCATAGTGCATTGCTGAGATTTAGAGAGCCTCTGAATTGTTTCTGGGTAGAAAATTAGGCTGAAGCCGACCCTGCCTGCCTCAGGCTTTGCTCTCCCTCAGTAGCACAGGTGCCATATGGATCCCCAAATGCAGCAACAATGGCCCATTTTAAAGGTAGGAAAGCTCTCCTAACTGAGGCACCACCACCCCATGGCCCTTGCGATCACTTCTGCATGTCACTGCAACTGCTGCTAGTTGCCTGGTGCTCTCCCCACTATCCCCATGATCACTTCTGCATGCTGTCTCCACTGCCACCAGTTGCCCAGCCCCCCTCATGTCCCGTAATTGCTTCCACATGCCACTGCTGCCAATTGCCACTGCCCCCCACTATGGTGTATTGTTCCCCCACCACAGCCTATTGCTGATCACTTGCTGCCACCTGCAGCAGATTGACTGATGGCTTCTTGTCCCTTGCAGTGAAAGATCTGGATCAAACAATGCCTGCAGGAATAGGCTGGACTGAAGGATTGAAGGTAGAGGGTCATTGGTCGTGGAGAATCACCAGGGGAGGGCCAATGGAAGAGGAAAGCAGGCTGTGAATCAGCTGAGGTGGGTGGCTGGGGGTGAAGTGGTGTGGCCAATGATCAGAGCATAAATGTCCCATTCTGATTGGAAGTGGTGAGGATAATAATTGCTTCTTAATAGCAATTGTACTTAGTGTTATATACCACTTTACAGTGCTTTATAGCCCTCTCTAAGCAGTTTATAGAATCAGCAAACAATCTGGGTTCTCATTTTACTGACCTTAGAAGGATGAAATGCCTGTATTTGTCTGAACCCAGGTGAAGTGCACATTATAGAATATATAAGAGAAGCCAGTTATAGGAAAA